CCAGAACCCAATTTGCAATGCTAATCACAATCCCAGCAGAACAAATGGACCAGCAATATAAAATATCCTCTAGTATAGTGCACTAAAAATTATATTTTAATTCTAGATGTCTTTCTCAAAATATTTCAACCCTGGCTCATTCTGAAAACGTAGTCCCGTGGACGTTTCTGGAGACAGAAAAAATACATCCCGGGAGGAACGTATTTTTGCAGTTTTTGTTTTTGCGAATCCGCGAGAGGCTGCTGTGTGCACTTTTTCGCATGTCAAATGTTTTGCGAGTGCCGTTTGCGCCTGCGCTGTTCTTGCGTAAATCCACCAGAGGCCGCTGTTGACTGAATAATGACTAAATAATGATTGACTGGGTGAACGGCCAATCAACCGATCCACCCTCCTCCTTCCCTTAACCCAACCAATTTTACCAATTGACCCACCCACCTACTCACTACCCTAAACCCAACCGACGGTTTACAAAAGACATCCAAAAAAAGAAAAGCCCTCGTCTGATTTTTACCACGTTTTCGGATTTCACCACATTCTCACGCTGTTGTTCACTTGTTCGTTTTGTGTTTTTTGGATTCTGTTTTTGTCCCAGTCGTCATTGTTTTCAACTCCTCTCTGCATCTTAAGTCCGCCAACGTGCACGACAAGCTAACTGGACAAACTGGTCATGCGGTAAAGCCTTCCACACGGAGGTATAAGCGGTCAGCTGGTAAGCCCCAAAAGGAACGCCGTCATACTGCCCCATAGCGTTCGCTTAAAAATTTTTAATGCAGCCATTTGTACCTCCAGCTACATAATTCGCTGTCTGCAAAAACGTCTGCGGGACTAAGTTTTCAGAATGAGCTTGTGTTGAAATATTTAGACAATCATTACTGAAAACACACATAGAGATTCATCACTGTGCAGCTTAGTAGCTCTAAAAATGAAAATAGACCCCCCCCCCCTTCTCATAAGCCCCGCCTACACTTGACAGAACCCAAAATGCTAATCACAATCCCAGCAGAACATATGAACCAGCGATATCAAATCTCCTTCAGTACAGGGGTCTGTACTAACATTCTGTGAGAAAACACATCATAAATAAGCCGTCATTCATCATTACGTGATACCAAAACACACACTGATTATGACTGCAATTATAGCTGGAGTTCGTTCTGTCATAACAGTACTTGGAGCTAATGCTAACTGTAGGTGGACACAGCTCTACTAAACACTGGGATCACTGAAAACAATAAGCATGTAACCTTGCGAATAAGCCCCGTTTATTTATCAGCATATAAAACTAAGCCAGATTGTGGTCCAAACCCATTACTAAATGACATGAAGTGCCAAGACTTCGTCCTCCAAGGTCCGAACATAAAGCTTTATTAGCATGCAATCATCCCTTATAATGTGGCCATAAAAAAGAGCGACATAAATCTAGTTTACTGCGTTTGAATGCTTGATGAGCGGCGCTAAAATCCAACAGCTTTAAATGGGCTTTTTCTGTGTTCTTTTTCATCTGACTAACTCGTGACCTGATATTCAATGCTTGTACTGACCACTAAGGATATAACACACCTCTATTATTCAATGTTCTTGGTTGTTTGGGCCTCTATGGAGAAAAAAAAAAGGAGGATTCGGTCAGAAATGGCCGACACATTACATCCAAACGCATTGCCTTTCTCGTAACACACATTATTACACTGGAACATGAGCATCCCTAAATGATTTTCTCTCAGTCTTGGAAAGCGCTGCTGGTCTCGTGTGTATTGTGTAGGATTTTTTGCTGCTTTAAACCACTAAGACCGACCTTACGATGGACCAATGCTGAAACCCAAGGACAAGGACTCTTATATGCTGAATAAGGAAACCGTGCCAAAACAACACCGAACTCTATTTAAGGATTCAGACGTCAAATAAAAAAAGGATGTCCTAAAATTGCAGGACAAATCCCTGTTTTAGTAAGAAAGACTTGTTTTGCTTGATGGTCTATGTTTTAGTGAAGTAGTTTCTCTTGGCTGTACCCATAACCCATTGTTTGTGTCTGTTTTTTTTTGAGAGAGAGAGAAAGAGAGAGACTTTTCCCATAATGCCTCTCCAAATGTCTTGATACTTGAAGGAGCGCTGTTTATTTGGCCTATAACATCCTCCTCTTTTTTGTTTTCGCTGCCAGAGCAGTCTGTGTGAGATTTGTCTGAATAAAGTTTTTTTTTTGCTAATCTTCATCCTGATTTTATCCTTTGGGGAAGTTATGTGAGAGCTTTTATCTGTAGGGTTGTATGCTAAACACTTCCATCAATCGCAAATGACCAGGAAAGAACCCGAGGATGTTTCCCAAGCTCTGAATGGTGAGATGATCTGTGTGTGTAAATGTGTGTGTGTGTGTGTGTGTATTTCTAATCAAACTGTGAGGGTCTCTTTAAAACTAGAGGAACCATGGGAAGGCGCGCAGGACTAAACAACCTTCAGTGACCTATAAATACATTGGTTTGCCAGAACCCACAGGAAGAAAATAGCTCTGGGCGATGGATAATTAGCATATAATCCTCTTGCGGTGTGTTCTTAAGAGCAAAGCCTGAGACGGACTGATCTTGAAAAATCACCGCTGAAAAAAAAAAAAGAGTTACATGAGGTGAAAGGACAGGCAAATGAGGATAACGAGTGATGGCTTTCTGTTTACATGCAGTAGCCAGCGCTTAATATTGTGACTGTGATTAGAGGACACAGTGGCCTTATCTGACCAAAAATATGGGATTATGATTATGTTTGATATCTCCAATGCTGCAGACTGTCTGTCTGTCTGTTCATTTATCATCGTGGTCAACTCTTCTCTGCGTCTCAAGTCCAAAGTATATGGCGATCTACTGGACAAACTGGTATCAATGGGAAAGCCATCCATACGGAGGTAATCGGTCCCCTGGTAAGCATGAAAATACCGCCCCGTCATACCGCCCCATAGCGTTCATTTTAAAGACAAAATGCAGCCATACGTACTTCTGGCTACATATTTCTGGATCTTCAGAAATGTCTATGGGGTACATTTTCAGAATGAGCCTGTGTTGCCATAAATGCTTAAAATTAACTTCAAGACCAAGTTTACACCAAATAAATCATTAACCATAATCATATTTAACTCACCCTCATGGCTTTTCAAACCTACATGTATATGACTGACTTTATTTATCAAAAGACAGGTTTTTTTGTAGCATGAAAGTTAATGGGGGTCCACCAAAACCCTGCTCTCTTTTTAAATGAATAAACTCACAGGTGAAAACACGTCTCGTTTCAGGTCCTTAAAGTTCAAAGTGATGGCTTTCACCCCTTGACCTTCACACCTTAACCACGACCCCACTAAAGGTCACGGTGGTTAAAACTTGTAAAACAATCCAAATACCTTTCCTCTGGCTAGAATGGATAACCCACACACGCCTCTCCTGCAACAGACGACCCTCATCATATGATCTGCATTCCTGCTCGAGTTTTCAGCTTTGGTTTCTGCTGAAGTGTCCATCTGTGGGGATGAAATGCTCTGTTTACGTCAAACACATCTCCATCAAGTCTGTGTTTTTGAAGCATGCGCACATTCCTGAAGGTTCGAGGATATCACTGAATGCATCTTTGACCCTGCACTCTAAAAAATATTGTTTCGATAAAACAAAACAAAATTTAACGCAACAGTTTGCATTAATATATTGAAGTTACGACAACATCTAACAAAACGAAGTTCAGAAAACAAACTTTATTATGTTAGCCAAATCTTTTCCTCTTTAATCAGAGGCATTTTTACATAGCAAAAACCTCAAATTTTTAAGTTGAGTATTTAAAAAAAAAAAAAAAAAAAAGTAGTTTATTTATTTTTTATTAAAATTTAAAACAAACTCGGTTGTTTTCAAATTTACTGTTCATGCTTGTAAGAAACACATTTAACAACAACATTTTTGTTTTTCGTTTGTTTTTTATTTGTATTAAACCACAGGTTTATATTGTTTTACAAAACAAAATCATGTACTGACTGTTTATCAGTATAAAAAAAAATAACAACAAAAAACATCAGTGTGTGGACTTAAACTACAAAACAACTCCATTAGTGTGAGTTATCAACCAAATTTCTTTGGGTTGCTAAAAGTAAATATTGTTTTAAAGTAACTTACAGACATTTTACCTTTAATTTAATTTCATTTTAAATTTGATATAATTTTCTATATCTTGCTGTTTTGAAAGCTTAATAAAATTATTTTGGCAACTTAAAAGTTTTAATCTTATCAGCATTTTAGAATTTTTAAGTTCAAATAATTTATCAAACTATGTAGTGGTAACAGACTTTGTGAGTTATTTTTTAGAGTGTGTGTACATGTTGATTTATACAGATGAAGTCAAAATTATTTTGAAATGTTTCCCAAATGATGTTGAACAGATTCACAGTATTTCCTATAATATGTTTTCCTCTTGAGAAAGTCTTATTTGTTTTATTTCGGCTAGAATAAAAGCAGTTCTTAATTTTTTAAAACTATTTTAAGATCAGAATTATTCATCTCATTAAGCAATATTTGTTTTCGATTGTCTACAGAACAAAACATCATCATAACTTTCCTAATTAACCTTTTAATCCTTTAAATTAAAACATTTCTAGTCAAACATTATGTACTGTCATCAAAGCAGAAATAAAATAAATCAGTGATTAGAAATGAGTTATTAAAACTTTTATGTTTAGATATGTCCAAAAATCTCTCCGTTAAACAGAAGTCGAGGAAACAATTATAAAGGGGGGCTAATAACACTGACTTCAACTGCAGTTACTGACCTGCGATCAGTCGCATGGTTTCGATGAGGCATGATTGTCCATCAGTATGAAGCAAGTGTGAAGAAAACATTGCCCTGTAACGACTCAATTAATCAAAAGTGGAAGGACAACAGGTTTTATTAGCAGCTTGGTGATGATTTTAGCAGACTTGTGCAGAAATATCTATGATGTCTTGCATATGTCGTCAGAGTATATAAGGATTTGTGTGTGGGTTTAGCGAAGAGCCAAACAAACTGGAAGCCCAAGAGGACACATTATAAGCCAAGGTGAGATTGCTAAGATACTCATTTATTGACTTTTAAATAACAAAATAGGTAACACTTTAGATTTGTCACAATTAATGTTGTTAACTACTGACTTCTTACTTGCCTTTTATTAAGATATGAAGTGTTCACAGTTATAAAGTATGATCTTATGCTGCATCCCCGAACCTAAACTCGCAACTTTTACCTTACTAACTATTAATAAGCAGCTAATTAGTAGTTTAGTAAGCTTGTAGTGTTATTTAGTGGTTTGTTAATACACACGGAGAAAAAGGATTCATTGGATTTACTCAATTTTTCAAAGGCAAGTTCTTGCAGACAGATTTTATGGGCTGATTTTAAACAAGCAAATTGAATGTGGTAATGTTCAACTTAATTTGTTTGTTTAAATTCGACCCATATCAATTGTTTGCAACCACTTAATTCAGTAAATCCAATGAATCTTTTTTTTTTTTTTTTTTTTTTTGTTGCGAGCTTTTAAAATTGACCAGCAATTTCTAAGTGAATTTGTCTTATGATCTTCTTATTAATTTTTCATGGAAATTAAATAATGTTTATACACACACACAGTTGAAGTCCGAATTATTAGCCCCCCCTTTGAATATTTCCTAAATGATGTTTAACAGAGCAAAGAAATTTTCACATTATGTCTGATAATATTTTTTCTTCTTGAGAAAGTCTTATTTGTTTTATTTCGGCTAGAATAAAATCAGTTTTTAATTTTATAAACACCATTTAAGTATATATTGATGTATGTATGTATATATATATATATATATATATATATATATATATATATATATATATATATTTTTTTTTTTTTTTTTTTTTTTTTTTTCCGGTAGTCTACAGATCAAACCATTGTTTTTCAATAACTTGCCTAATTACCCTAACCTGCCTAGTTAACCTAATTAACCTAGTTAAGCCTTTAAATGTCACTTTAAGCTGTATAGAAGTGTCTTGAAAAATATCTAGTAAAATTTTATTTACTGTCATCATGGCAAAGAGAAAATAAATCAGTTATTAGAAATAAGTGTTCAGAAATGTGTTGATGATATCAAACAAAAATTGGCGGAAAGTATTATATATACTAATAATTTTGACTTCAACTGTATATATTTTAAAGTGTACGTGTCAGAAATAAAAAGATCTTGACTTGATGTTTTCTTCTTTTCTGCATTTTTAGGATGGCTCATGCGAAGAGGTTTTCTCAAATTCCCATGTCTAAGGTTCTGTGTTTGTTTTTTGCTCTGGAAATGCATCTGAATCTGTGCAAGATTCATTGGAAAAACTTTACAATAAGGGTGCATTAGTTAATGTTAGTTAATGCATTTACTATCATGAACAAACAGTGAACAATACATTCATTACAGTATTTGCTCATTAGTTAGTTACTGAAAATAAAGTTGTTCATTGTTACTTTATGTTAGCTCTCTGTCCATTAACACGCATAAAACTGGATGTTAATAATGCATTAATGAATGTTGAACTATGATTAAATAACAATGTACAAGTTTAGTTCATGTTAGTAAATAACATTAACAAATGAAACCTTTCTCAACCACGTTCCTGGAGGACCACCAGTTCTGCACATTTTCCATTTCTCCTTTAACAAACTTCCCTTATTCAGATCCTCAGCTCATCAGCAGAGACTGAAAGACCTGAAATGGGTGTGACAGTACTGCAGTGCTGGTGGGCCTCCAAGAATGCGGTGGAGAAATAGGTGTGGCCGATAAAGTGCAGGCCTGACTGCAGATTTAACATGGGTGTCTGTAACATTACGTGAGTATGTTGTGCATTGTGTTTCTTTAGTGCATGCGGGATCTCTGTAAAGAGGAAGATTACTCGTTTCTGACCGGTCTGGAGAAGCAGGATCTTGAGGAAGAGTGCACACAGCAGGACAGCGAGAGGCTGGAAAAGCTAGAAGAAAGAGTAGGTTTGCTTGAAATCACGCTCTAGAAAGATCTACATGGCCGCTCAACCCTGGCGATCGACCTTCCTGGAGATTTCAGATCCAACCCCGATCAAACACAGCTGAACCAATTAATTAGGACCTGAACAGCACTTGATAATTACAGCCAGGTGTGTTTGATTTGGGTGGCAACTGAAATCTGCAGGAAGGTCGATCTCCAGGAACAGGGTTGAGCACCCCTGATCTACACTGTAAAAAAGGATTCAAGTTTTTGACTTGTTTCTTGCCCAAATATCTACAAATTGTTAAACCAAGAAGAATTTTCTTGCAAGTGCAAAACAGGGCCTGTCACATTGGAGCAAAGTAATAGCAAAGAAATGTCACTTTAATGCATGTACTGGCTGATTTGTGTGTTCCTCCAGGTTCATCGGCGACAGAAGCGAGAGCAAGAGCATCAAGAAAAGCAACGCGAACTAGAGCAACAGCAGAAGGTATGTCCACTCATGTCAGGGCCACTGTCTGCAATGATAACACTAATTATATCTGTCTCCAGCACCACAGCGTGAGTCTGTCCAGAGCCCACAGACCTGCTCCGTCAGACTTACATCGTCAGGCTAATTGTGCTTGATTGCATTACGTCTGCATTGTTCCTAACTTATCTGCACACGCAGTGACCTCTGTATTGTGAGGCCAGGTAAATACACCAATGCAGTCATTTCTGCTTTAAATATATGTGTTTTTAAAGCAGGGTTTTGGTAGACGGTGCACTTCATTAGTTTTTTTTTTTTTAACCCCTTTCAAAATAATGGTGATTGATGCACACAGCATGCTTTGTTTTTATGTACTGTAACATCTAGGAATGGATAAATAGACGATCCTACAAAAATAGTCTGTGTATAAAAAAACATATATATATATCTTGGCATTCATACTCAAAACACTGGGTGAAATGAGTGGGAAACAAATCATTCTGTTATAAATTAAACAAGGCATGCAAGTTAATTTCAAAGTCACCTACAGAACATCATAAGGAGTTTGTTGAGATTTGATTATTAGTCATGTAAACTATAGTTCACTTTGTTTGTGTGTAGTATTTGCTGTATATGAAGCCGGGTAAATATATTCTTCAAAAATAGCCTATGAATATCTTGGAGCCAGACACAGAAACATTTGTACACAGAGAGAACATGGTGGGAAATGTCCAGTTTCTGTCAATCCAAAACTAATGTTGCTGACAGAAACGCTAAGCAGGATATATATTCATTCATTCATTTTCTTGTCGGCTTTATTAATCCGGGGTCGCCACAGCGGAATGAACTGCCAACTTATCCAGCACGTTTTTACGCAGCGGTTGTCTTCCAGCCGCAACCCATCTCTGGGTAACATCCACACACACACTCATACACTATGGACAATTTAGCCTATCCAACTCACCTGTACCACATGTCTTTGGACTGTGGGGGAAACCGGAGCACACGGAGGAAACCCTCGAGAACGCAAGGAGAACATGCAAACTCCACACAGAAACGCCAACTGCTGGATATATATATATATATATATATATATATATATATATATATATATATATATATATATATATATATATATATATATATATATACACACACACACACAACTCAATTTGTCCATGTTTAGGCAACTCCGATACATCTAAAGAGAATTTTATACTTACAAAAGCTGATCCCCTTGCTTATATGTCATGATGTTGCTTTAAATTATATATTTGAAATGAATATTGATTAAATACGTCATACGGAAATCTGACTGGGCCATATAATAACATATACAGTAAATACAGTTATAGCCGGTATATTTGAACATATACTGTATGTACACCACCTGACCAAAGTCTTGTCGTCGATCCCAGTTGTAAGAGCAACAAATAATAACTTGACTTCTAGATGATCATTCAGAAAAGTGGCAGAACATCTGTTAAACTGCATCCATATCATCACAAATACTGCAGAAGACCTACTGGAACCCTGCATGGATCACAATTCTTACAGAAATCAGTCAAGTTTGGTGAAGGAAAAATTATGGTTTGGAGTTACATTCAGTGTGGGGGTGTGTGAGAGATCTGCAGAGTGGATGGCAGCATCAACAGCCTGAGGTATCAAGACATTTGTGCTGCCCATTACTTTACAAACCACAGGAGAGGGTGAATTCTCCAGCAGGATAGCGCTCCTTCTCATACTTCAGCCTCATGATTAAAGTATGCACATACACTGTAAAAAAAAATCCATAATTTTACAGTTTATTTCAAGTTTCTGGGCTGCCGGAAAAAAAAGTAAAATAACGGCCATTAAATTACAGAAATTTATGGTATAGCGGACATTACTTTACAGAAATCTACTTAAATTGAAATTTCTAGTACATTTCTGTAATTTAACCTCTGTTTCTTTACAGTAAATTTATGTAACCGTTATTTTACAGTTTATTTCCAGCACCAGTTGCCGGAATGAATCGTTAAATTATGGATTTTTTTTTACAGTGTAGTTCATGTACTTAAACATTTTAAGTCAATGGATTTACTCACCTAATTTTATTTAGGAAAGTCAACTAATAATTTTAAAGGTAACAGGTTTACTCACTTATTTTAAGTAAAGGCAGCCAATAATTTTTTGTATACTTAACATTTTAGTGATGTTTGGCAGAGTATTTGGGGGGTTTTCCAGAAATATACCCATGCAACATTGTGGTCATAATTTAGTTTTGGGCCAATTAATGATATGCAATGTAGGCCATTCATTTAGTGCAATGTTTCCATCATCTAATGCAATGCACATTTCACTATGGTGGTGTAAACGTGCACGCTACTGTTCTGCAGTGCAGGACATTCAGAGACTGTGTTTTGTAAGCTGATGAAGCTCCAGCTGCACATGATCTGCTGCCAGTAAAGTCTGAGTTCAGCAGCCAAGTGTGAGGTCACTGAAGGACAGTCGTGTTGTTGTTGTCCACTTGGCTGTTGTCGTAAACTCAACAGCTTGAGGAATTCCTGCAACGCCTTCAACAACTTCAGACTTAAAGGGACACTCAGCTTTTTTGGGGGAAATATGCTCATTTTACAATTCTCCTATGGAGTTAAACAGTTCAGTTGACCATTTTAAAATCCATTTAACCAATCTTTGTGTCTGGCGAGAGCACTTTTAGCTTAGCTTAGCATAGATCATTAAGTCAGATTAGACCATTAGCATCTCACTCAAAAATGACAGAAGAGTTTTGATTATTTTCGGATTTCAAGCTTGACACTTGTGTAGTTACATTGTGTACTAAGACCAACAGAAAATTAAAAGTTGCTATTTTCTAGACCGATATGGCTTAGAACTATAGTTTCATTTAGGCGTAATAATCAAGAAACTTTACTGCCATACAATGGCTGAAGCAGACACCAGGACATAATGCACATCCAGCAAATTTAAGGAACAGAAACATTTGTGAAACACGCTTAAAAACCATGTTCAAGCATTGCTGTCATGCCTTTAATACGAAAATAATCAAAAGTCTTTAGTTTTTTTTTTTTTTACTGAGATGCTAATGGTCTAATCCGATTCAACTATTTATGCTAAGCTAAGCTAAAAGTGCTCCTGCCAGACTTGAAGATTGGCTGAATAGATTCAAAAATGGTACTGCTGTCAAGTTTCAAATAGGAAAATAATCAAAACTCTTTTTTTATTGAGATGCTAATGGTCTAATCTGATTAAATGATTTATGCTAAGCTAATCTAAAATTACTCTCGCTAGAGTTGAAGATTGGCTGATTAGATTCAAAAACGGTACTGCTGTCAAGTCTTAAATAGAAAAATTATCAAAACTTTTATTATTTTTTTTACTGAGATGCTAACGGTCTAATCCGATTCAATGATTTATGCTAAGCTAAGCTAAAAGTGCTCCTGCCAGACTTGAAGTTTGGCTGCTTGGTTTAAAAAATGTTACTGCTGTCAAGTTTCAAATAGGAAAATAATCAAAACTCTTTTTTTTTTTTGAGACGCTAATGGTCTAATCCGATTCAACAATTTATGCTAAGCTAAGCTAAAAGTGCTATCGCCAGACTTGAAGATTGGCTGAATGGATTCAAATATGGTAAAACTCATTCATTAATTTTCTTTTTGGCTTAGTCCCTTTATTAATCTGATGTCACCACAGCAGAATGAACCACCAAAATGGTCAAACTCAACTATTTAACTAGTATAACTCCCAACTAGGAGAGTTATAAAAAAAAAAGCCTATATATAAGCCTGAAGTGTTTCTTTAAGACCAAACCACAATGGGACGTAGTTAAGAAGAGAATCCGTAATTGCTCTTCCTCTCTTATTGAAATCAACCTTGGGTTCGGCCTTTGTAATTCCTAACGGCTAGAAAACGGACAGTCCACTACTCCGACTTCCTTCCTCTCCAGCTGCTCAGACTCTCCTGGCCAGTTTTCAGGTCCGTCCAATGATTAATGTAGGGTCAAAGGAGAAGTGCTTTACTCCTGTTTCCCATGCTCGTGTTCACTATATGATGGTGTTATCATTCATAAGCGAAGCTTTAGCTTGATAACCCCACCCTAAGTGTGTGTTACCGGGAGAGAACAGCCTGTGACTGCTCCAGTCCTCAGGGGACAGAGGTGTTACTACACACACACACACACTGTGTTTTCTCTTGTTAGGTCGGATGTGTTTCAACGCCTTCCATATGTGGAGTGCATTTAGTGTCTTATGTTATGGCATTAGAGACGGGAAGTTGCACCCACACATAATGCGTACAGGTGAGAGGTCAAGCCTAGCCTCATTCCTGCAGATCTACATCAGGGTTCGCTTCGCTGGCTCCACCCGCAGATGGATAGACTTGTTTCTGATCAATAAAAACGGATATTTGGATATCAATCTGGCAAAGCTAATGAGTAAAAGATTGTATAGTAGTTTTCACAAGACTCCTATGATGCATCATAATTTTAAATGCTTGAAAGTTTTTAATATTTATATATTTTTTTGAATGTATGTATGTTTATATACAGCTTTTTTCTTTTTAAAATATTTCCCGAATGATGTTTTACAGAGCAAGGAAATTTTCACAGCATGTCAGATAATATTTTTTCTTCTGGAGAAAGTCTTACTTGTTTTATTTTGGCTAGAATAAAAGCAGTTTTTAATTTTTTAAACACCATTTTAAGGTCAATATTATTAGCCCTTTTAAGCTATTTTTCTGATAGTCTACAGAACAAGCCATCGTTATACAATAACCTGCCTAATACCCTAACCTGCCTAGTTAACCTAATTAACCTAGTTAAGCCTTTAAATGTCACTTTAAGCTGTATAGAAGTGTCTTGAAAAATGTCTAGTCAAATGTTATTTACTGTCATCATGGCAAAGATAAAATAAATCAGTTATTAGAAATGAGTTATTAAAACTATTATTAGTAGGAATGTGTTGACATTTTTTTTTTCTTCGTTAAACAGAAATTGGGGAAAAATAATTCAGGGGAGCTAATGATTCTGATTTCAACTGTATATTTACATATGTATTAAATCATCTTTGCATCAAAAAAATAAAATAAAAAAAAACTATTTACCACTTGTGCAAGGAGTTTGAAATGTAGTGCCTATGGGGGAAAGGACAGTAAATTTGAGTAATTTAATTTATCAGTCTCACATAATTTTTCCATTTTTTCTGTTCAGTCTTGATAACACCATCTCGGAGTTTTTCTTTTATTATTTTAGCATACAGGATTGTAAAAAAAATTTTTGCTGTACTCTCACATTCACTGCGCTCTAAGTTTTCCCAATTATGATGACATCCACTGCTAAGAAACCCGGAAATGTGAAAAGGGTTTATAGAATGTTTGTTCAAAGTAATTAGGACATCATTAATGGAACAGCTTTTGAAAAATAGCCTAAGTCAGACTTTGATGTTTAAACTGTGCTTCTTGTTTCGGAACACATTCTAAAGCAATATTCCAAAATGTCTGCAAATTTATAAAAATGGAAAAGCTTCCAAGAACATTCAGAAATAATACACTGTTAACAACTGCCTGCAGTATTTACAGTAACTTACTAGCAGCAGCAAGGTAATGTAAAATAAACTTACAGCATAAATACTGTATCAAATCTTGCTGTTCATGTATTTACAGTATTGCATATCGAGTAAAATATGCAGTCATTTTAGTAATATGTTTCATCTGTAATATATTTTCATACAATACATAAAAAACCTTGTAATTCTTTGTTCATTTATATATTTCATGTACAATAGGTCAAAATAGTAAATTACTATATTTTCCTTACAGTATTATTGACTTTTTTTTTTTACTGTATTTTGATTCACAGCAACTTTAAAATACAGTAACATACTGTCATTTGTACATTTACTGTAAAAAGGTAAATGTAAGGTAAAAAGGTTACTGTATTTTCTACAATTAGCCATTTTTTTACTGTATTTCGATTCACAACAAATTTAAATATTGAAAGAATTGATGGTTCTGAGAGGATATTACCACCAATGCAACTTGAAACCACAGTAACATACTGCAAAACGGTCTTACAGTAAAATACAGTCATACTACAGTTAAATACTGTTTTATTTACAAAACAATTGTTAACAGTGTAGTTTATAATGTAAAACATTAGCACACTGTTCTTAGAACATATTTGTTGTCAATTTAAATATTAAGCCTGATTGTTTCAAAATGTTTAGAGGACATTCGTAAGTAACAATGCTTCCAAAATCATAAAATAAAAAATTGCCATTTTTAATAAACAAAAACTGTAATCACATTAACAGAACATATTCCTTGTATTCTTAGAAAAATGCACAACAGTCTAAGAATATTGGTTAGCTGGATGTTAGTTTTTGGAATGTTACTACTTGTTTCGGAATGTTTATAGAACATTCAAAAGTAGCTATGAAATGATAATATAAGGGGCAGCAAGGTGGCTCAGTGGTAAGCACTGTTGCCTCACAGCTAGAAGGTTGGTGTTGGTCTGGGTTTCCTCCGGGTGCTCTATTTTCCCCGACAGTCCAAAGACATGCACAATAGGGAAATTGGCTAAACAAAATTGGCCATATAAGTGCGTGTGTAAATGTGAGAGTATATGGGTGTTTCCCAGTACTGGGTACATATGCTGGAATAGTTGCTGGTTCATTCCGCTTTGGCAATCCCTAATAAATACGAGACTACATATGAAGGAAAAAGAATGAATAAATGTAGAAATAATGTTTTTTTATTTTTAATAATGTCATAGGAACATTAGCACAACGCTCTTACAACATATACTGTATTATTAGCCGGACGTTAATTCTGAATATGTTACTAATAATTATTGCTTGTTTCAGAAATTTGTTTCAGATTCTAAACACAAAATTCATGCAAACTGATGAAACAGAGAAAGCATTACCAATCCTCCAGCAAGAAAATCAATGAGTCAAAAACTTGCTTTTGAACCTTTATAGAATATTAAGCAATAATATTTTCATATCATAACTGAATATCAGCACAACTTCCTTTGTGTGTATTTAATCCTATTAGAATGCAGTTGCACAAACAGGCCCTTCATTTCTAAGGACGGAACATGCTTGCGTAAGACTAAATTTGATTCAAGAAACCTTGACTAACGTTATAAGTGTATAAAAGAACAATCCCACATAAACACAAACCCTTAATGCCGTTTCCAAATACAATGGTTTCATAACAGCAACTTAATATTATTAGAAATAACATTATATTCAATGTTTGTGAAAGGAGAAGGACGAGCAGTGGAGAAGTCATGTGGCTGAGCTGGCGGTCCAACGCAAGGCCATACACGCCAAACTGGACAGACTACGAGAATTCAGGGTGAGGTTTTTACTGGACACACACGCAGACACACCGACACACACACACATAGGAATGGTAATATTGCTCCCAGAACGTACAGATGTGAGGCCCAAAAGCAGTATGACTGAATGTGACCAGATGTTCAAAGTATCTAAGTATGCTAACCAAAACCATACTTACCTGATGCAGGCACAGATTACAGCTAAAGCACACCAAACAAATGTTAAATTTTATTTAAATGACAGATTTAGAAATATATATCTAATGATTTTTAAGATCAATAACATCTAAAATGATTGGCCTTAGATGTTGATGCATCTCTGGTTTCATTTCCAGGACTTTCAGAAGAAAGTCGTGCTTCAGGATTTGGGTCTGGATCCAGATTCTGCCAATGAAACAGTCAAGCACCTTCTGATGAGATTGTAACTGTGTTTACTAGTGTAAAAACACACATATTTACTAAGCTAATAAAGATTTATATGATCTGTTTCGGTATGTAGAGGTCATATATCTTCATAAAATGTCTTAAAGGGGTCACGACATCCTGAAAGCTTCATAACTTGCAGGTTAAAAATGATGTTTACTGTTAAATTCCTCACATCAAGACCATTGAAGATGTTGAATGTCAAGATATTAAAGATTTGATCTAAAAGTTTGGGTGTTTAATAGTCATATATTTTCAGATATTGTGTTAAATGGGTCATGAAATGCTGAAAAAATTATGTTTACTGTTAAATTACAAACATCAAGACCGTTTAAGAGGGTGACCTTTGGTTTTTCAGTAAAACATTAGAGATTTGATCTGAAACTGTGAGTTTAGATGATTCATAAAATGCAAGTCAACGCTAACTAACACTTTTAGAGGAAACAAATCATATACAGGCAAAACTAAATAAAAACCTGTGTCTCCTGATGATACTTTGAAGACTTATGACGAATAATCATTGGTCTATGAAAGAAACTGAACTCTGTGTTGGTGTGAAGTGGTCATATGTCTTTGGAAAATGTGTTAAAAGGTTCAAGAAATCCTGCAAGATTTCTAGCTTGCAGGTAAAAAAACTATAATATTCACGGTTAAAATACATTACCAAACCATTCAAGATGTAGGTGACTTCAGTAAAACAATAAAGATTTGATCTGAAACTGTGGTTTTTGATGATTCATAAAATGCAACGCTAACTAACACTTTTAGAGTAAACAAAATATATACAGGCAATACTAAATTATTACCTGTGTCTTCTGACGATACTTTGAGGGCTTATGAAGCTAAATCACTGGTTTATGAAAGAAATTGAACTCTGTGTTGGTGTTAAGTGGTCATGTATCTTCAGAAAATGTGTTAAATGGGTCATGAAATCCTGCAAAAATGATGTTTAGCCTACTGTTACATTACATACATCGAGACTAGCTCAGAATGTACATGGCTTTCGTTTCTTCAGTAAAACATTAAAGATTTTATCTAAAATTGTGGTTTAGATGATTCATAAAATGCAAGTCAACGCCAACCAACACTTTTAGAGTAAAAAAAAATATACAAATACAGGCAAAAGTAAATTATTACCTGTGTTTCCTGATGATATATGAAGTTCTTATGAGGAAAAATCATTGGTCTATGAAAGAAACAACATTATTTACCTCTAATTCACAGCCTTACAGCAGCAAATGTCTTAAATGTTTTATGGAAATCTGATATATAGCCAGATAGGAACATTACATTGGATGATAGATAGATAGATAGATAGATAGATAGATAGATAGATAGATAGATAGATAGATAGATAGATAGATAGATAGATAGATAGATAGATAGATAGATAGATAGATAGATGGATGGATGGATGGATGGATGGATGGATGGATGGATGGATGGATGGATGGATGGATGGATGGATGGGTAGGTATGTGGGTGGTTGGATGGATGGATGGATGGATGGATGTATAGATAGATAGATAGATAGATAGATAGATAGATAGATAGATAGATAGATAGATAGATAGATAGATAGATAGATAGATAGATAGATAGATAGATAGATAGATATTTTATCTCAAATATGTAATAAGCATATATTGCTATAATTGCTATATAACCTTATCAGATTTCTGTAGGGGGGAGTTTAAATGTAGTCCTCTACAATTTGGAGGAGTAAACAAACAGCAAATTTCATTTTTTGGTTTGTTTTGGTTGAACTAAATGAATATCTGTGTCTCCTGATGATACTCTGAGGTCTAATTAAGCAAAACCATTGGCCTATGAAGGAAACTGAACTCTGTGTTTGGTGTTAAGTGGTTTAAACCGATCGTCTTTCTTAGCCGTCAAACGATTAAAATAAACAGAACAGAAGGTGGCAGTATTGCAAAAATCTGAACAGCCGTAAAACCACAATAGAGAAGAAGAAGAGATTGTTGACATGTGCACTTAATTGTGATGACAACAGGACAGGTAAGAAGTAAAATACAATTTGATTCAATGTCAAAATCATCTCTGTACAGATTTCAGAGGATGGTATATTTGTAATGGTTTCCCTCATGGTGTTGAAGGTTTGGTAAAGGAGGCTCATTAATGAAAAGCACCATAAAGGAGGCTCATTAATGAAGAACACATTAAAAGGAGGCTCATTAATGAAGAGTGAAGCTTTGGAGACGACAGAATTACATCTAAAACAGTAAGTGAACAATTTCATATGTTTTTTTTAATTATTATTACAGAGGGTTTCATAAATTCCTTAGGCAGAGGACATTCACACTCTTTACTCTGTAATGACCAGTGCCAGACAGAATCTGCAGACTATGCTGTAAAGAAGTTATTGATTTTAGGAGTAACAATATAGGAGCTAAAACAAAAATCTGAATCTGAAAAAAAAAAACGTCTTAACTTTCAAGGTTTACCATGCAAATCTAATTAGAGACAATTATTTGGTAAACAAAATGACAACATGCCTCTGATATAAAACATGCATAGGCAAAATAAATAAAGTAAATAAATGGGTTTAATAATGGGCAAAAAAAAAAATATATATATATACATGTATATCATAATCATAATATATAAAAAATAAAATATTTTAATTTAGGGCTGCATGATATAGGAAAAATATGACATTGCAATATATATTTTTCTGTGTATAGTATTATATTAGAGGAACTGATGTAATAATGGTTTTAAAATCTTTTTTTTCTGTCTTATGTTCTTTTTTATTTTTATTTTTGCTTTTTCTGTTTTGTCTGTATCCCTCTCAGGCTCAAATACGTTTTTAGAAACAGGAAAAATCTGATATTTGGGGGATATTATCATAGGGGGTAGTACAATAGAATCATGACTTTTTTTTTAGAGAGACCTTCACATGCGAGGCGTTCTGGGATGTTGCAGATTTGCAACATTGGCCCAGTGTGGTAATTAGACACTGACGACTGAATATGATATGAACAATAACTTTTTATCTACAACTTTTCAAACAATGTAACAAATTGCTTTTCAGTGGCAGAACAACAACAAAAACAATATGGGATCCAAATCCAATATCTCAAATCCTCACTGAGTAGGTCATGTTTCCAAGTCATGGACAACCAAGTCCTGCAGTGGTACTTCTGAGTAAAAAAAAAAAAAACTCATAAAATATGTATCTGGATTAATAAGGTAGTTCATTTTTACCTGTTGCAAATCAGCCTGCCTTGAGAAGGTTAAAATTGTTGTTGCTTTTTGTATTGCTCTAGGAAAATAAAAATATTATATATATATATATATATATATATATATATATATATATATATATATATATATATATATATATATATATACAGTATATTCTGAGAAGGTCTTTAAAAAGTCTTAAAAGGCTATTGAAATTATTTTTACAGTAGGATTCCTGCATATGCACTGTTAAAGTGCTCCTTAACCTTTAGTATTTTCCAGAAGTGACAACTTTTCAGAGAAACTAACCTTTGGAGTTTAAATGCATTGAGTTATGTCCCATTCAACAGGATTAAACAATAAGCAAGTAAATCCGAGCTAACAATGTAATGCGCGTCACATGTCCGCCTGTAATAGTACAGCAGATGAGAGTATAAACGGTACAATAAATCGCATGACTCGAGAGGAAGACAAACAGAGGAGTTCAGATTCAAAAGAGAAACAGCGGCCAATTAATTCTCATGTCCTTTATGCATCTCCGACACAAAGGGTGCTGATGGAGGAAGATAGATGAGAAAAGGGGAGCGCGGAAGAAAGGACGGAGGAGAAAGAAACAGGTGGTTCCAGGTCTAGCATTAAGGGGAGAACACAGCAGCGTCGTGTTTCAGCATGTCTGACCCCCTTAGGGCCAGGAAAATGCCACAGTCTCCAGTGTCACACTTACGAATGTCCCACAATGGGGTTAGTGCACATGGACTTTTCATTTCAGCCAGCAAGCCTCAGCGCTTCCGGTGAACTGGCTTTCTATTATAAAATCGCCCCGTTCTAGGTCTGATTTCTTTAAAAATTAGTAATCTTCATTTCCTGGTAGATATCCGCTATAAAGTGGGTCTTAGATCAGATAAGAAGCACTGCATTAATATCCATTTTCCCCTGATATGTCTTCAAAATATGAACATTTATTTTACCCCAGTATTTTCAATGGAGTTTCTGCGCTCGTTTCAGCACTAGTGGTCATACATCTTGTCGTTCATCTTGTTTTAAGCTTGAACAGCTAAATGAATGCTTAAATCTATTCAGCTGGTTGTATTTTAATTACATTACAACATCGATGCTGTAAAATGAACCATTTAAAATTAAAAACAGTCACATAAACCTTATCATTGGCTCAAAAACACTAGCTGTGCATATACTGTAGCCCGTTGCAGCATGTTAAGCTCTCTCGGCCACTATACACAACTTTTTCCCTTCAACTTCATCAACCTCTCTGTGTTTATTTGATCGTGGACGCGCGGAGGACGTGTTGAAAGGCTTTGATTTATCCCGCGCTCCTAATGTGCGCTGCAGAACACATTTAAATGCTGCTACGACACTCTGGAGCCTTTTCCGAAAACACAAGCGCTCCAGTAAATAGTTGTAGGCCATTCATTCCACCATACTGCGGCATACCATACTGAAAAGTGTTTCCCTGCCAGCTTCACCACCCATCCACTGCAGCGCCCGTAGCACATTAAATCTTTCTAAGCAATTGTGGGTCATTCAAGACACATTTTTTAAATCACTTTCCTCATTTTGAGCATTTCTAGCCCACAGTGTTTTAGGGGTTAGCAGTGGGCTGTGTTTGGAATCTCTGCACACTGCTGCTTGTTCAGTCTACTTGTTTAAAATGAGCTGTACCGACACTATTCTTGAGATTTTGTTTTGGGGACAACTTAATTTTTTTATTATTAATCCACTTAAAAGCCTAATAGCTAACTTAATTGATTTGTGTTGGCACAATATGAATAAATTGTGTGGAAATATTTTATCTAATGCACTGGAAAAAGAAAAGCTGGGTTCCACACAATTCCTTCATGTTGCCCCAACACAAATCAACTTATAGTTGTCATTACAAATTTAAAGGTTTAAGAAACCCTGGAGTCGGGGGTGTTGCTAGACTCCATTTACTGGGGCACGTGCCCCAGTAAAAATCTCCAGTGCCCCAGTAAATGCTTTGAGATACTATTTACTTTATGTACTAGTGTATTTATCTTGAGTGGTAATTCGACAATAAAGATGTCATTCTATATGTGCACCCGAACTATTGCTGGTGAAAGCAGTGTAGTTTAATCAAAA